GATTGCAGTAAAATTTAGGATATAATGGCTACAGTCTAGAATTCAAAACCAGCAAAAGAAACTGTTTTCTGACTCTGGTTTAAAAAAAAAAAAGACATGTCTGTCTGTCTTTCTCTTTCTCTCTCTTTGTGGGTGTTTGAACCCCTCATTTGTTTTCCACTGCCGTTCATTGTACTGGCGTAAACAAAACTTTCATATCAAAATAAAAGTATGTATGGGAAATGGTTGGCTTCTGTGAGAGTGGAAAATAGATTAATCTAGGACCGGTATTTTCATAAACCAGTTGGAGACGACTAATAATTATTTGTTCTCTTCCTCAGTCCTTCCCTTCCATGAGAAAATTTACTGTTTGTATAAGAATCAAAACGTTGATGTTGTTGACTTTTTTTTCAGCATATGTTTTTCGGACCTGGTTAATCCATGCTTGGCTTTTCATTAGATCTTGTACTCCTGAAGGTTAAGCTGCTAACCAGGTTTATAACATGTATGTACCATCACTTTGTTTACCTGAGTCTTTTTAATTTGAATAAAAATAGTTTGCAAAGTGTTTTGGATTAACCAGGTTTGAGTGTCCCATCAAGACTTTTGTTAGGATTTTATTTCAAGTAATTCTGGCTGTTGCTGATCCAGATTTTATCAAGTCCTTGGTACATGTCTGCTGGTGTGGGGGTAAAGAATCCTTTTTATATTGTCCTCTGTATTGCAAGACGTGCCTGGTAGGTGCTAAGAACAGTGATGCTGAAAAATATGGTTGAAAATTGAGCTATAAGGAGCATGAACAGTAAACCTTGAAAAATATGTGATGCACTGAGAAAAAGCTGAGTGGAGATGATAAGATTCAGTCAGTCCCAGTTGCCCCCACACTAGTTGCTCTGAAAATAAATAGCAAGCCTTAATTTCATACTGGAAGCTAACCTGGTTCAGGTCTTCCTTTTATGTAGCTGTATAATAAAGGAAATTAGAACAGTAATATGGAAAAAAGCATCTTTTACACAATAAAATTAAAAACCAGGATAGAATTTTTCTTTAATACCAAAAAATTAAGTGGTCTCGAGTCTCAAGGTGCCTCTGACGTACAACTTACAAAGAGCTATTTAAACAACCAGAACAGATAGCATTATATTTAATTAATATGCATTCATGTCTTGGACCTGGGGGATAAACACTGCCTGTCATGCAGGCTGCCAGCTTTACAGAACTTCCACCTTTCTAAAACTTGATGGTGGATGGTGTAGTTGCACAGAGACTAATTCTAATCATCCTCCACATCTTGTTTGCTCAGTCCGAGATACTGAAGATCATCTGTAGATGTACATAGCCCCCTCTTGACTGCAAACGCACTAAATTGGAGCGGTGCTTCAAAATGGCTGGGTACTTTGAACATCAAGAAAGAAATGGGATCTGATTCATTGATACATGTGAAATTTTCCAATTAATAAAATAAACCTCATATTCCTTTTGCTTACTGCATTTTCCAGCAAGTCTAATTTGACCGTCCTACAAAGAAACAAAGGGACAGCTGCTGCAGTGCAGTAGGATCTGGTGATCCTGGATAAAGAGATGCCCAGTCTCTGTCAGGCCTCGGAGACACGGTGGTCTCCTATAGTCAGTCCTTCCTGTGCCAAGAGGGATCAGAAATCCAGTGCAGAAGTCTGGCCATGCAGATTGTCATCTGTTAAAGGAGGCAGCAGGAGAGACGTGAAAAGAAACGGAGAAGAATGCACTGAATTGCACAGCAGAACCAGTAACCGGTGTGGCTCAGCCCGGGTTAAGCTAAGCACGACGAAAGCCTTGGACAACAATGGCAAAGAATGGTCGATCCTTCATAAAGTCTGTGCAACTGTCTCTACAGGGAGTGCCCAAATTCAGTTTCCATTGGATGATTTTTGGGAGGACTGTAATTGATCCTCATGCCTGGTGTGAAGCACCAACATCCAGTAACGACTTAAGGAAATTCCTCGGGACCAGTCATCCCACCAGTGCCTGTTGCAGATTTTTGCACCTTTCTTGGAAGGAGCTGGGGCTGGCTATAACCGGAGCACAGGTACAGTTTTGTATCTGTGTATGAAGTCCAAAGTGAAAGCTCGCCTCCACTGAAGATAGTAAAGTTTTGCTCCAGGGAAGAATTCACCAATACATAACAGATGACTATTTTTTCCTTTTTCTACTCTTGAAAAGCTGGGACAAAACTGCTGCACCCCTGTGCCAGGGAGGAATACAGGCTGGGCACATACATGCTTCCTTTACCAGAACTTCTCTTCAGTACTTCCCTGGCTCGCCACAGGTCTTTCAGCAGGCAGCATCCTTGGGTGCACAACAGCAGGGAAACGATCAGCAAACAGATCCATTCTTTCCACAAAATCATTCTGAATCGGCAGTGAAATTGTCCCCTCTCTAATGCTGGAGTGGTGAGCAGCATTGCTCCTACAGAAGTATCGCTGTTTGTTTGCAGATGACTATTTACTGCTGCTGCTTTACTGAGTTGGAATTTTCCATGCTTGATATCTATATTGGTCTAACTTCTACAATTTGGAAAGCTTTAGCAGAAATGCTTTGCTAATTCTCGGAATCTCCTGCTGTGGCCACTGCGAAGTGAACACGAGACCACTGTTGGGAGATGCCGAGCTGTGTTCTGGGCTGACGCCAGATGAACTCCCTGAAGAAGGAACGGATGTGCTCTACCCCAGAACTGGCAGGGGCTCAGCGGTGCTTAAAATGAAAGCTGTGTTCCTGGCTTGCTCCCACAGTGCGTAACAGCAGCAGCGGTGTGTTCCCAGTGCTGGCCTGAGCTCTGAGCCGAAGGAGAGTTCTTGATTCCTCCCCGTTGCCCACCACCACAGTAGACGCACAGGGGGGAAGCTGGAGGACGGGAAGGAAATGGGGAGACGAGAGCCAGAAAGAAGATGGGAAAGAGATTGCTGGGGAAGGCAAAGAGCACAGAACTAGGAATCAGCAGGGATAAAACTGAGAAACCAGATGAAGACCTTGGTTGTTGAAGATTGGGTGTAGATTAAAATTGATACTAAATCCCCAGGTGTGGTCGGTACTGGAATGGGCTTGGGCACTGGGGCCTTCCAGCTACTCTTATTTCCAGCGAAATGGAAAAATGGAAGAATGCCGAAGGATCAGCACTAGCAAACACATGGTGGAATGAAGAATACAGTTCAGATTTCTAAATGTCAGGCTTCATCTTCTGTCATAACAGATCTGTGGTGCCTGAAATGGTATGATGCCAACTTGGAGAAGGATTTTATTCCTGCACTGGTCACAAAGACCAGTGACGCAGTACTCCCTGACAGCAGACTTGTGAGCGACTGCAGCCTGTCTCACTTTCTGTTTACCTAGCTGGAGACACCCAAGATATCTTCCAGACATGCCTGATGCCCTCAGCTGCAACTGGGAAACAGTGCTGCAAAATAAGCAAGAGCTCTGAAGTGAAAATTGGACCTTGACTCACTGATGTCTGTGAAACACTCTGCTACTATTATTGGAGTGCTTAAGGGAAGCCACGGGAAGTTTTCACACCA